GGCTGCTGACTTTAAAAATAAGGGGAGAGGACAAAATTGAGGGGATGTTAAAAGGAAATGAAGACATTACTTTTAAAAGCAGCAGCGTGCAGAGGTTAGCACTTAAGGCTGCAAGAAGGCTTTTCTGCCTGCAGTTTGTATCTTCTCCCTGTCAGTGTGGGTTTCCTCTGGTTGCTCCAACTTCCTACCTCAGTCCAAACATAAGCAGGTTCAGTGGTGATTCTAATTTGCCCTTAGGTGTGATTTTCTCCACATGTCAGAGAACACATGTACACAGGGTGAGGTTACTTCGCCCATACAAATGACACAAAAAAGGGGGAAGACAAAATTAATGCAGGGATGATATTAAATGAGAAAAGTTGATCTACAGGAGAATACAAATTTAAAGCAACACAGAATGCCCGAGAGACTTATTACCACATTATATTCTGTTTTATATATATATTCTGTATGTGTCTATATACCTGAATTTAGTGTTTCCCTTTATATAAATAAACATATTTCCACCATAAATTCATGCAGAAAAGGCATAACAGTTCACCAGAATGCATAAAATGAAGTATTAAATAGGAGGATCACCAGACCTCCAGATGCACCTCTTGTCTCCCCTCCAGTGTTGAAGCAAAACCTGTACTCTTGCATTTCAACAACAAAACAACTTCATAAATTCACTAGAATGCAACAAGTCAGTCTCTGAAGGGACACGCGTTTTCTAGGAGGGAAATTCACAGATATCTGGTTGGGTTAGGCAGCTTAATGATTCTCAGGATGTTTGAACCTTCAGTCACAGAGCAGTCTGTTGAAACATAATTGTAAACACGTTCGGCTCTGGTCTGTATTCCTCCAGTTTATCTGCACACTGGAATATCAAAAACAAGTGATTTGTGATTGTGGCTAATATTTAGCTGCAGTTTTTAAAGATGCCATCAGGTGTCACAATAGGGCTAAATAATTATTTAAAATATCTGTTCTTGACTGCAGCCACTTGGTGTTTGTGAGCTGTGAGCTGTATTTAGTATTTGATTAAGGTCCATTATTTCAAATGATTTATGTTTGAATAGGATGTTAATAATGTTTCTTCGAATATTTAACTTAAAGTTTCTCCCTCACACACAGTTGAACCGCAGATTCATCATGGTGTGAAAAACAGTTTTATTGTTCCACTGTAAGTTTTTAAAGTAATCCCTTAGAGATGCAGTGAAAACTCTGAAGCACAGTGACTGGGTTAGGTGAGAGCGACTGATTTAAAAGCTGCTTTTCGCCTCCGTTGAGTGAAACCCTGTAGGCTGTGACTTTGATGTTTATTGCAGTTTCAGTAATATCTGCTGCCTTCCCTTCAACACTACAGGCGTCTATTTGGGACAGGCAGGCGTCTATTTGGGACAGGCAGTGAATTACACACAAAACTCTCAAATAGTTTATTTCGACCAGTATAAAAATTAGAATAACATATCAATTACAAATCAATAATTTGATCTAGCTCCGAGAGACAGCCCATCTAGGACAACCTCAGCACATAGAGCATGGAGGGAGAGAGAGAGAGACCGACTGACTGACCATACTGATGAATCGGAATTTCTGTAAAATGAACTGAAAGATTGAACTGTGGAGAATCTAACTGATCTGAAGATGTGTAGCATGTACATATTGACAAATGTTTAAACATTTATATTTGTATGCGCGATCAAGGTTGCTCAAGCAGGTGACCCGGTGAGCTTTCAGGGGTTTTTTACATCCAGAAAACTTACGTAAAAATGTGACCAGGCATTTCTTTCAACGTGAAGCCACATCAGGTCACTAAAAGGGACTGGTGGCTAACTGGGAGTAAGCTTTGAATTGAAGTTTTATGGAATGTAGTGAAAAAACAGTGGAAAAAATATTGTATTGTGCTTTATTGCACCAGTGTGCAATAAAGTGGCACGACTAAGAGGAGAGCGCACGAGTGCCAGGTGCCGAAGGAAGGTCAAGACTGTAAAACCCAATGAATGTGTGCGGAGTGGCCCAGCCAGCCGCTACACAAACATCCTGCAAAGAGGCCCCGGAAAGGAGGGCTCGAGAGGCCGCCATGCCTCTGGTGGAATGAGCACTCACAGCCACAGGTGAAGGCAAACCGCGCACCTGATAGGCCAGGGAAATAGTCTGAACAATCCAGTTGCTAATAGTATGTTTGGATGCAGGGAGCCCAGCCCTGGGAGACCCAAAACACACTAGCAGCTGGTCAGCCTTCCTCCAACGGGAGGACCTCAGAGTGTAACACTCAGTGCTCTGACAGGGCAGAGCAGATGAAGTCTCCCGTCCTCCGCCGTCACATGAGGTGGAGGATGAAATGCCTGCAGCACTGTGGACCCTGCCGCACAAGAAGGCACTTTAGGGATGTATCCTGGACGAGGGTGCAGGATAGCCCTAATATTTCCCGGGGCAAACTCCAGGCTTTGTGGGGAAACCGAAAGCGCTTGGAGATCCCCCACCCTCCTCAGAGAGGTGATAGCAACGAGAAAGGCCATCTTGAGGGTCAAGTGCTCAGCCTCAGCTGACTCCAGGGGTTCAAAAGGGGCCTCAGCCCCAAGAACCACCGCCAGATCCCAAGTGGGAACCTTGGACCGAGACGCAGGTCTCATTCTCCGGGCACCACGGAGGATCCGTGTGGACGGGGCCCCGGAGCTGAGGATGGTCTCGACTGCTCCGGCTGTTAGACCCGCCTCTAGGTACTGTGCCCCCTCAGGGGCCAGACCCACAATCGCCATATGGCGGGGCAAGGGTGAAGAACCCGGCCCTGCGCCTGGGACAGCAGATCTCTCCTCAGAGGGACCCGCCACGGCGGGCCGTCCAGGAGCGATCATGATGTCCGAGAACCACACCCGGGTTGGCCAGAACGGGGCTACGAGCAGTAGGCCGACATTGTCCTGGCGGACCCACTCCAGAACCCAGCAGAGCGACTGGGGGAAAAGCGTACAGACGTAGCCTCGGCCACAAATGTACCATGGTGTCCAGACCCAACGGGGCTGGAGGAACGAGAGAAAACCATAGCAGGCAGTGCGTAGTCTCTTGAGACACAAACAGATCCACGTCTATGGGGCCGAACTCTTCGCACAAGAGCTCCACCACTTCGGGGTGAAGTCTCCATTCCCCGGGCCTCAGCCCCTGCCTCGACAGCAGGTCTGCTCCCTGATTCTGCGTCCCCGGGAGATACATCGCCCTGAGCGATAGTAACCTCTGCTGGGACCACAGGAGGGTCTGACGCGCCAGTCTGTCCAGAGGGCGTGAGCGCATACCGCCCTGGTGATTCAGATAGGCCACCACCGCTGTGTTGTCGGAACGAACCAGGACGTGGTGGCCTTGGAGATCGGGCAGGAAACTCCTTAGAGCCTGGAACACCACCAACATCTTGAGACAGTTGATATGCCACTCGGATTGATGCACCTGCCAGGATCCCCTTGCAAAGCGGCCGTCCATGACCGCGCCCCAGCCGGACCCCCACACCCCCGAAGGCGAACCTCAGGAACTTCCTGTAAGAAAGACGGATGGAGACGTGGAAATAGGCGTCCTTTAGATCTATGGCGGGGATGATGAGCATCTTGAACCTGAATCTCCTCAGAGACCGGTTAGAACCCGCAGATCCAAAATAGGGCGCAGCCCTCCGTCCTTCTTGGGGACTATGAAGTACCGGCTGTAGAACCGGCGTCTCTGTCTGGGGGGGAGACACGTTCCACGGCCCCTTTCCTCAGCAGAGTAAGAACTTCCTGTCCCAACACCGGACCTTGGTCCAGGCGGACCACAGTCCAAACCACCCCGTTGAATTTTGGAGGGCGGGTTTTGAACTGTAGTCGAAACCCATCTATGGCAGTGCGCAGGACCCACGGAGAAATGTTCGTCAGGCTCCGCCAAGCCTCTGCAAAGTCTGCCAACGGAACCAGCCCCTCAGGGCTGGTGGTCGGTGTCTCGTGTGATCTTCTGGTGGACCCCTGAAGCCCCAGAACGGCAGGGGAGAACCGCCGAAGATCCACGGTGAGTGAGTCTGAACGCCTGGCAGCCTCAGCTGCCTTGGGTCCAGACCGGCGAGGGAGGTACTGGCGGAACGCTTCGCACTGCGTCTAACGCTCCGTGGTTCTGCGAAGCTCCGCCAGATCTTCCTCAGAGGGACCCCCCCTCTGAACCATCTCCTGTAGCAGGTCGGCTTGGTAGGCTTGAAGCACCTCCAGCAGTACGTCATCGGGCGCCGCCTGATGAAGATCAAAAACACTCCAGTCAGTGCAGTCAAAGCAGGCCTGTAACTCCAGCTTTGACTCGTTGGTCCATCTTCGGTCCAACAGGTTTAGCAGATTTCAGTTTTTGCCTGTGTGTTGGGAGAAGATGAACCAGACAGTGATCAGAGAGTCCTAAGGCTGCACGGGGAACAGAGCGATAGGCGTCCTTTAATGTTGTTTAGCAGTGGTCCATTGTGTTAGTGTCCCTGGTGGGACACTTAATATGCTGTCTGTACTTTGGAAGTTCATGACTGACGTTTGCTTTGTTAAAGTCCCCAAGAACAAGGAGCAGGGAGTCTGGGAGTTTTTTCTCCACGTTAATTATCTGGTCGGCCAGGTGTAGTAACGCCTCACTAACACGAAATGACTGAGACTGGCCAACATCAGTCATTCAGTCCTGAGGTGAAGCGTTACTGCAGGAACCTGAGGTTGATTACTGAGAGCATCAGGCTGCAGATGGAGCTACAGATATAATGTGTTTTAACTGTTTCTACACACAGTTCACTGTTTAACTGGATGATATAATGTGTTGCAGGTGTTGAAATCATTGTATCTGTTCATGTTTTGTAGTCTTGGATTTCTTTTTTGAACACTCAGGATACTTGGATACTCTGACAGTATCCATAGTAACAGCAGTATCCTCAGATCAAGGAGAAGAGAAATAAACAGAGAGGTGAATAAAGATGTTTCAGAGAGAAGCCACTTCCTCCCACAGCGTCTCTGTGCAGGTAGAAACAAACCTGTGAGCTCTGTTCTGTTTCATCACTTCATCATCTAGTTTATTAGATTAACAACAGTCCACACTGAACTACAGGGAAACACTTTATTCATCTTTTAGAAGCACAAACAAAGAAAGCAAAGATTAAAGATTGATCTGAATTCTGTCTTAAGTTGATGTCATCAGTTATAAAGCATCCAGTCTTATCTGACATGGAACAAAACAAAGAAACATCAGAGCGTTCATCGTCTATAATGTCATTCTGCATCATTCTGATTGATCTGATCAGCAGTTTAAATGATCTTCATGCTGTTTAATGTTTCATATTTGCTGTGATATTTGTGATTTGCAGAGAAAACAGGGTGAATGACATCTAAACATTTCATTTCACTTCCAGCACAAACATCATGTTCTTTCTCATATTCAAAAGAAAACAAAGATCATCTGTAATGAGTGAGCAGAGCTTCAGCTGCTGAAGTCTTTCTTTACTAAGCTGCTGTCTGTTTTTATCAGCAAATGATTACACAAACTATTAGGACAAAAGAAAAGAAAAGGCAATTATTCCCAGCAAAAGAGTTTTAACAGAAGAAAAGAAAACCAACAGAGCAGAAAGATTTTCTACAGACTGAAGGTGCAGGCTGAAACAGCAGCTCACCCTTTTTTACAATGCTCAACTTATTAGAGGTGAAAATGTGAAAACAAATGACTCTAATATCTCTAAATATCTAATATATAAACTTTACAGAAAACCCAGTGAAACAGAGAAGACCCTGAATGTTACAGATGAAACAGTTATTTTCAGTAAAATAGAGCAGAAGTTATTTAGATATTAAAAGCCTGATTGATCAATACAGACAGACTGAAATCAACATTTTGTCACTTAAGAGTCCAAAAAGATCCAGAAAGCTCTTAGACACTGCAGCTGAGCCACAGGGATAGATCAGCTGTATATTTGCTAAGCACTGATATGACTGTATTTGACAAGAAAACAAATATTGTTCAGCCTCAGAACATCTTTGACAACTCTTCATAACCACCTTAGAGTGATACTTTCCAAAAATAAACCAATTTTATCAGACTTTCTTTACTGTTAATAATAATGTAATATAATACAGGAATCATTTCAGCCTCAGTTTCACTTTGGTTCTAAAGAACATCTTAACTAATAACCTCTGAAATTTTAACAATTCAACATGAAAAGGTTTATTTAGAACAAAACTTTAGTTTTCTGATCATCACAGCAGTTTGGAAAATAATAAAAATAAAAATAATTTGAATTAGGTTTTGCTTATTTACTGCATTCTGTATTAACAGCCACTATCTGCTTCTTTAAAGTTTCAGTTACTGAAACTAAATGAAAATAGAAAAAAGGAACAACATCTGAAACTGCTCTGTTGATGAGACGTTTACATGAAACAAATCCTCATAAAATACGACAGCTTGATGTATTGACTTGTTTCATAAGTTCCTGGATCAGGTCATTTATTTCTTTTTCATGTGTTTCCTGCAGATTTTTCTTTTCATCCTCACTATCCAGATTCTTCATTTCTTTTTCATGTTTTTTCAGTAAGAGGTTTATTTTTTTCAGATTTTCTTTCTTTTTGGTCACACATTTAACTAAGTCACAAATTTCACTGTGATGTTTTTTCTTTATTTGTTCTTCATTGTGGGCTGAAAGTGCCTTTAAGATGTCAAATTGTTTGTCTTTGTCTGTCATTTCTTCCTCATGCTGTTGCTTCTGAGCTGCAAACTCCTTGTTGTGTTTCTCTCTGAATTCATTAAACTCTTCAGCTTTCTTTCTGGCCTCCTCTTCATACGCCTTTTTCTGATTCTCCATTTTCTTCTTGTAGTTCTCCTCCATGTCTTTTCTCTCTTTTTCCTCTCTTTCTCTTCTGATTCTGTCCTCTTCATTTCTTTTCTTTTCATAATTTTCCCTTTCCTGTTCGTATTCTTCTTGAAGCTTGCTAAGTCTTGTTTGTTCCTCCTGTCGTCTCTCTTCGTCTTCTTGATAACGTTTGTCCCACCATTCATTTTGTGTTTTCTCCCAGTTCTCTCGTTCTTTTCTCATCTCTTCTCTGCTCTCCTTCAGCTTTCTGTCAATTGTTTCCTTTGATTCTGACTCTGATCTTATTTTTTGCTCCAAAGCTTCACATTTTCGTTCCCACTCCTGTCGTTGAATTTCTTCCTGTTGTTTTCTCTTCCTGTCTTCTTCTTCTCTCATTTCCTGTTCTTTCTTTCTATCCTCATGTTCCTTCTTTATCTTCTCCTCCTTTTCTTCAAGTTGTTTTTCTCTCAGTTTTCTCTCCTTTTCAATTTCTGCTCTCTGTTCTTCCACTCTTTTTTTCATTGCTTCCATTTCTTCCTCATGTTTTCTTTGAAGCTCCTCCCTCTCTCTCTTCATCTCTTCTTCCTTCTCCTTCAGGATTCTCTCCATTTCTTTCTTTATAGCTGCCTCGGCCTCTTGCAGCATCTCATTGGTGTAGCAGCTGCCTCCATTTTCCTTCACCATGCTGTCAATCTTGGTTATCAGCTCACTGACTTGGGTGCGGTTTTGTTTGTTACGGTTATTAAACACATGGTATCTTCCTCCACAGTCAGAGATCAGCTTCTTAAAGGAAGCATCACATTTATGTGCAATGTATTCTTCAATGGACGTCTCCTCATCCTCCAGTGAATCTCCTCCAGTTAAAAGAATGATGGTGAACTTTTCAGCATTCTTCCCAAAACTTTCCTTGATGAGTGTTAATGTCTCCTTCTCCTCTTTTGTGAGTCTCCCGATCTGTAACACCAACAGGAAGACATGTGGTCCTGGAGCCAGAAGACTGATGCATTTCACCATCTCCTGATTAACCTCTTCATGGGACAAAGTTGTGTCAAACAGACCAGGAGTGTCGACCACAACAAACGGTCGACCGTCCACTTCACTCTGTGCTTTCTTACAACGTTGGGTGACTGATGTTTGACTTGATTCAGCTTTAAACTCTTTTCTTCCTAGAATGGTGTTTCCTGTAGAGCTCTTTCCACTTCCAGTCTTCCCTATCAGCACAATCTTGAGACACTCTGGACTCTGCTCCTCATCATCACCTGGGAAATAAGAAGAACTGAGTTACTTTAAATATTCACATATGTTACAGTGAAGGTTCAAGACTCACTCAATGTACAACCTGGTTCAGGACACAGAAAAAACATTTCAGTTCAAAGTACTTACAAGTGATCTTGTTCTTCTTCATCAGCCTCTCTTGTTGTATGACCTTTTCCATTTGTGCATTTGCAAATGTTGCAGTTGTATAGCAGGATGGTTTATTTTTAGATTTTCTCATTTTTTCCACCATGTCCAGCAGCTCTGGGATCTGCTGCTTGTCCTTGATGTTGAGAACAACATATCTTCCTCCACAGCTCTGACGGAGCTCCTGGATGTCTCTGTTCTTTCTAACAAAGTTAACAACAGCTGGAGCTGCAGGATCTGACTCCACAGTGAACAGAATCATGGTGAAGTCATCGACTCGAGAGCTGAATGTGTTCTGGATGGTCTTTAACTCTCTCTTGTCTTCATCAGTGAGGGGACCCACAGGTAGGACCAGGATGAAGGCATGGACGCCCTCAGGATCACAGAGGGAGATACACCTGAATGATTCCTTCATCACTGCCTCCTGAGGTTTTTCATACAAGGCAGGCAGCTCCACCAGGGAAACCCAACGTCCACGCACAACTCCCTGATGTTTAACACACTCTGATGAGTTGGAGACTGAATGAAACTCTGTCTGAGCTAAAATGGCCTTGGCTGCTGAAGTCTTCTCTGCTCCTCTCCTCCCACACAGAACCAGGTTTAAAGCTGGTTTGATGTGTTTATACTTTGGTCTGATGGTCTCTTCAGTGAAGGTGAGGAAGGTTCCTTTGTTTTCATGCACAATGTTCTCAATCTCCTGCATTAACAGTCTGCGGTCATCATTAAACATGCTGTAGTATCTTCCTCCACACTCTTTAAGGAGTTCGTTAACAGAGACGGTCATTTCAATCCCGCCATGTGTAAAGATGACCATTGAGTGTTTAAAAGCACTTTGACCAAACAAACTCAGGATGAACCTCAGTGTGTGTCTGTCCTCCTCATTGAAAGCAGAAGGCTTCACTAACAGCAGCAGAACATTCGGTCCAGGAGGACAAAAACTGACACAGTTCTTCACCTCTCTTCTCAGTGCGGTCACAGAGTGACTGGTCATGTCTGGAGTTTTCACTGCAGTCAATAGTTTTCCTTTCCACTCTCCACAGGTAGCCTCACACTGTTTGCTTGTAAAGAGGTTCTGGACCTCTTTTTTACCAGTGATGATCTTTCCCAGTGTTGTTTTTTTGTCATCACTTTTCCCAAACAACACTATCCTGAGTTCACGTGCTGTAATAAATAAGATAGGAAAGTTACGAATGCAGTGAGTACATTTTCAGCACACTCTACACCATATTTAACTACATATTCATTTAGACGGATTAATGGCAGTAATTAAAGATATTTCATTTCTTACATGGTTAAATATGATGTTTATGCTACAAACCGTTTGTTTTCTTATTTTTTCAACATCACTTAGTTGGCTACAGTTTGCTCAGAAGATCTTGATCTGTTCAAAGGTGGGAATTGACATTAGATTTAGTGCCTGTTAACAATTTCTTGTGAGCCTCAACTCACACTTTACTACTGTTATAATTGATAATAACTGATATTGACATAATATGAGTTGGCACTGGTAAAATTAACAGTTATTTGTTATAGTTGACAAAGTTCAATAAAGTAGGGGGCAGCTGTGGCTCAGGAGGTAGAGCAGGTTGCCTGTTAATCGGTCGGCGGTTCAATCCCCAGCTCCTCCAGGCTGCATGTCGAAGTGTCCTTGGGCAAGATACTGAACCTCAAATTGCTTCTGGTGGCTGGTCCGCCAGTGTTTTGGGTTTTACATTTTGCAGTTCCATTAGGCCTATGGATCGCTATTTGGCAGGCACGTGCACACATAGACATCCCTTTTTTAAGGGAGCTTTTTTAATTATAAAAATAAATTATAATTATAAATGCTAAAACATGTCTAGCATTGTGTCTTCTTTACCATGAGTGAAGAAGATACGAGGGAACTCGAACTGCGTCGGTGACGACGCTATGGGAACGCCTCTGGGCGTGGCAGGGTTGAACTATGAATGAAACTACTCCAATCCTATTGGTGTTACTAGAATGGAAGTGTGTGACGGCGTAACCGGAGGGGGTATATAAGCACGCCGGCAAATAAGACACATTAGCTTCTTTCTATTCAGCAAAGCACTCTGGCTATGTTTGGAAGCTCCATCATCCTACCTGAAGTCGAGACGAAGCAGATCATGTCGAAGCGATTCCGACAGTGTGTCTTTCCATGTGGGCGTTTCATCACGGAAGGTGATACCCATGGGATGTGCGTCTCATGCCTGGGGATGTCGCACGCTCAGGCAGCTCTCGAGGGGGCTGTCTGCGACCACATGCGAGGCCCTGCCCCTGAGGGTGCTGAGGTCTTGAGCAGCTCTTTTTCTAGAGGATGGTCAGATGCGCTCCCCCTGTGGCACAGGCCCCGTGGTCGCTGAGGCGTCGCGGCGGCTCCGATCCTGTGGATCGCAACGCGAGATCGCCGAGGTTGCCAGAATGGCTGAGGCCTTTTTCCGGTCCTCGTCCACAGAATCCTCCCCCCCTCGTCCCCGATCGGGAGCCCGTTTCTCGGTTTCTTCCACTCGAGGGGTGAGTCCGGAGAGGCTTGCACGATCTGGCTCTGAGGAGCTAGATGTGCTCGGGGAAACGGAACGTCATCAGCCCTTGCCAGGATACGAGGAGTTGTTAGAAGTGCTGACGCGGGCTGTGGCCAGGCTGCACATTGATTGGCCACAGGCGGTGCAGCAGCCATCGATGGGCAGCAAACTAGACGAGCGGTTTCTGCAACACCAAGCGGAACAAACCCTTCTCTGCACGGCTGTCTTCGTCCCCCCCGGCTGGACTACGGCAACGTGACGGAGATCAGACAGCACGGCTACGGAGCGATGCCACGAGTGGAGGAAGCACTGGCTAGCTACCTCTCTCCCAACCTCACCTCATCCCTCCGGACGCCGGCGATCCCCACCAAGCCGTGTCGGATGACGTCCGATTTGGTGGGCAAGGCCTACATGGCAGCGGGTCGAGCTGGTGCCAGCCTGCACACGATGGCTGACTTGCAGGCTTACCAGGCCGATCTCCTTTGGGACTCTGACGTAGTCAGGACCTGATTGAGCGCCGTAGAGCAACGGACTTGGCTCTCCATGTGACCAAGGAAACGGCCCGTTCCACTGGCCGATCCATGGTGGCTTTGGTGGCTACGGAGCACCATCTGTGGCTCAACCTCTCGGGCATCCAGGGGAAGGAGAGGGCTTTTCTCCTGGATGTGCCCCTCTCGCCTTCTGGCCTGTTTGGCGAAGCAGTGGATGCGGTCGTCAACAGGTTCCAGCACGCCAAAACTCAGGGAGAGGCGTTTGAGCGATATCTCCCCTGCCAGTCAGACTCCAGGACCGCGAAGGCTCAGGAAAGGCGGACGCAGCCTTCGTCCAGCACCTACCGCCACAGCCAGAAGCAGAGCGTCGCTTCACGGGATCCCCCCTCAACCAACCTGGGACGCAAGACGTCCAGTATAATACCTTCCGGACTACTGCACATGAGAGCCCTGCAGTCTTGGCTAAAATCCATGGGGGCACAGTTCCTAGAGGTGGGCCTGACGACAGGAGCAGTCGAGACGCTGCTCAGCTCTAGAGCCCCGTCCACGAGAAGGATGTACGGGCCTAAGTGGGTATCTCGTTCCCATAGTGTCGTCACCGACGCAGTTCGAGTTCCCTCGAAGGGGAACGTCTCGGGTTACGTATGTAACCCTTGTTCCCCGAGAAGGGGAACGAGACATGGAGTCAGTCCGCCACACCTCACCCCGCCTGGAGTGCCTTGCTTCATAGAAAGGGCTAATGTGTCCTATGTGCCGACGTGCTTATATACCCCATCCGGTTACGCCGTCACACACTACCAATAGGATTGGAGTAGTTTCATTCATAGTTCAGCCCTGCTACGCCCCCAGAGGCTTTCCCATAGTGTCGCCACCGACGCAGTGTCTCGTTCCCCTTCTCGGGGAACAAGGGTTACATACGTAACCCGAGACGTTTTGCCGGCCCTACGTGGTTAAATTGTTGTTTATTTGTCATTTTGTGTGCTTCAACTACAGATAACAGCTCTTTGTGAGCTCTCTGCAGGCTACAAATCACACATGGAGCATTTTAAAATAAGAGCGTTTTGCCTGCCTTATTTTGATGACTTGATTTTGTTAATTTGTTCATGTCTCCTTGACTTCTATCATGATTAAGAAGGCTATGTAGTTAAATTGTTTACTTGTTGAACTTTAGCTAAACTTCTATCACAATCGCAATATCTGGCAGAAATATAGCAATTAGATATTTTCCCCAAATCGTTCAGCCCTATTTTAAAATAAACATACAGTAAAATGAACCGAGTCAAAAATGAAGGGGATCCTAGTATTGTGAATTTTTAATAAAGAAAAGTTAGAATAAATGTTTGTTTATGCCATTAATTATAGTTCTTAGAAAGAAAGAAAATCGCAATCGGACAAACCGGAAGGTCAAAAATTTTAAATCGCTAATCAGAAACGGACAGGGAAAATACAATCATGCATCTCTGGTCAGAATGTTTTCCTGAGTTTACCATATGCTTTATTACCATCCAAGATAGTTTGCTTTTGTGTTGGATTTGGATGATCAGCGGGTAAAGCAGCTGCTTCGTCCTCAATCACATTACAGCTGACATGCTGTCCATTGTTCTCCATCACAATTTGGTCCAAACGTGTCAACAGCTCTGGATGGTCAAGGTTCTTCTGCTTTAAGTATCTGTAGCTACACATTCTGATTAAGTCACTTAAATGAGCACGTTCCACACACTTTTCCATGAAAGTTGATCTATTCTTTCTTTTTGGTGATATCAGAACCAGTGAGTGATCAAATGATCGATCACTGAAGAGTTTCAGGACTCTGCAGAGCCTCAGTTTGTGTTCCTCAGTGAAGTCTTCAGGCTGTATAACCAGCAGGAACACATGAGGTCCAGGATCAGAATAACTCACACAGGTTTTTACATGTTCTATTAGTTTGTCTTCAGAGATGTTGGAATGCAGCAGATCTGGGGTGTTGATAACAACTATCTTTTTCTCCTCCAGCGGTCCACTGATTCTCACACAGCATTCAGGTGCTTTGTTGAACACAGTCTGTCCCAGTATGAGGTTCCCCACTGAACTTCTCTCAGACCAGCTGTTCCCCAGCAGAACAACCCTCAGCTCAGACACTGAAAAGAAAAGAAAGATTTAGAAATATATATATTATATATATATATATATATATATATATATATAATATATATATATATATATATATATATATATATATACAGTATATATGTACACATCACCACTGAGATCTTGAGGAGATATAAGCCATATGTCCCCTCTCTCATCATGGGCAATGTGAGATCTATTGGAAATAAGATGGACGAGCTAACAGCATAAGCCCGGAGTAAGAGGGAGTTGTGGGAGGGTAGATTAATGTGCTTCTCAGAGACATGGCTACATCAGGATATACCTGACCACAACATTTCCATCGGCGGATTACAGACTGTTCAGGCCAACACAGAGTGGTAAACGTAAAGGTGGGGGACGTGCCATTCTAGTTAACAACAGATGGTGGAATCCCGGTCACATTACGGTGAAACAATGTATCAACAATTAACAATGTATGTAGCCGGGACATTGAACCGCTTGCTGTGGGACTCCGTCCACATTTTCTGCCATGGGAAATTTCACATGCCATCGTTTTACCTTCCGACCCGATGTCGGCGTGTAATGTCATCCACACTAACATGACTGAAGTCTAGACTGAAACAGTACTCAGACCTGTGGCACTGACCTCCCACATAATGAAGACCCTGACGAGACTGGTTCTGGAACAGCTGTGGCCCATAGTCAGACTTTTCCTGGACCCCCTCAAGTTCGCCTACCAGCCCCCAACTCACCATCTTCATCAAAGACAACTATCAAACAGAGTCCTGCCATCTTCAGAAGTTTTCTGATGACTCTGCTGTGGTTGGATCTATCAGTAAGGTTGATGAGGCTGAGTTCAGATCTGTGGTCGGTGACTTTGTCTCATGGTGTGAGCAGAACCATCTGCAGCTCAGTGTGACAAAGACAAAGGAACTGATTGTGTATCTAAGGAGAGCCAAGGCACCACTGACCCCTGTTTCCATCCATGGGCTCAGTGTGGACACTGTGGAGGGACTACAAGTACTTGCGCATGGACAATAATGTGGACTGGGCTAAGAACACTCAAACTCTCTACAGGAAGGGTCAAAGCTCTATTTTCTGAGGAGGCTGAGGTCTTTCAATATCTGCCGGGCTATGCTGAGGATGTTTTATGATTCTGTGGTGGACAGTGCTATCCTGTTTGCTGTCCCAGGTCAAAAAGAAAAGAAGAAGGCATTGAAAATGTACTAGAAATTCACATATTATGCTTATAGTACATTCATACTCCTAATATGCTTGCTACTATTATAATAAAGATATATTTCTTGAGCTTTAACATACTTCTCAAAAGTATACTTTGAATAAATTGGTAATGAATATATTCCTAATTAAACCTAATAATAAATATGCTTAATATGCTTAAATAAAAACATATTTTTCACATTTCAGTCTATTTATACATTTTTTTATTTTAATTATTCAGTTCAGTTTGACTAATCAGAATCAAGTCTTTCAAATCGACGACCCAATCACACAGCGTGTAAGTCCGCTTCACGAAAGGGAAGCTATTTTTGGCCAGAAATCATTTTGTTTCTCAGGTTTCATTTGTTTTATTTTACCCACTCAGACTTGGCGAAGGTGGACACCACAGATATAATAAGAAAAGAACACAGAAGAGAAGAGTATCTGGTCAGCTCCCTGCAGAAGTTAAAAGTGAAAACAGCTAAAGAGGACAAGAAGGAGAGGACAGACGCAAAGACTATAAATAGTTTGGGGAGTAACGCGTTACAAAAGAAACGCAATTAACGTTACAGTAATGTATTGCTTTATTCTGTAAGGCAGATTTTAACATGGCAGGCCTGTGCATGTGTGTGTATGAGCCCTCAATACTGCTTTTGCACTGTTAAAATGAGCACTGAGGTCTTTATCAGAGTAATAAATGCAACTGATATGTTGCTCTGTGTGCGAAAGGTTCAGATTTTTATAGTCTACCCTAATATTCACATGTCCATGTTCACATTGAGTAAGTTATTGGTCACTACAATCATTATTCCTGCCCATATAAGTGTAAAGACATCACCACAGTTGTCATTTTTTTATAAATTCATTCAAAAGTTTAGCTGAAGCTACTATAAATCATCAGCTAAGCATCTGCGTTAGACTAACAGTCAAAAATGGATATCTTCTTAAGGTATGCTGTTTTTTTAGAGATTTCTCTTCACTGCAACCATGGAGGGAGTAATCATTACAGTGACCAATAACTCAGTTATAACAGCAGTGTTAAAGTGTGCACAGGTATGTGAGAATTGTTTTAAGACGCACTTGAAATAATGTTTTTGTGTCCGGCAGTGCCTGACCACACGATATAATAGCTTGTGATGTTATGTAACATCAACTTTATGTCCATTAGTATGGTCATAGATGCTGTATTCAACTTTTAAAAGTTGAACCTACCCTTTGCCATCTTTAACCAACTTAATGCTAAACCCAGAGTTGGAACTTCCTGCCTTAGCTCAAGAAAATTAAAGAATAATAACAAAGATTTGCTATAAGAAAAGAATTACAGTGTTTATAATGATACGCAAATGAAGAACTAAACCAGGTGGAAGTACTGGCATAACTTAATATTTATACTCATTTGCAACTGCATTTCTTTTCTTTTAGAGCCTCCAAGGCCCCGCTGGATCCTAACAAGCTCAATGTGCTCATAGGTATTTCTGGCTCCTGCAAACAATCACTGTCCTTGCTGTCAGTACCTGTCTACGGGGTCAGACTAAATAAACAAATTTTCTTGTGAAAAAATAATTTTATTTAAAATATTGTTATACATTAAGTAATTGGCTACTTTTGTAGGGGTAAACTGGGGCGAAAGTAACAAGTCGATTTACTCAGAGCCCTGACTGCATTTTCAGTCCAAGCTGTGACAGCACCTTCAGCACGCAACCCTTGATGGAGCTGCCAAATATCACATGATTTCGTCATCGTTTCCCGCAGCCGTAGGAGCTATTTTTTTAATTACAAGTTGTGTCACAGTAATGATTAATCTACAGGTTATTTAGTGCTTTAGCACACCCTGAAGTTTGCCCTGTCAGAGTTTTCAGTATAAAAATATATCGTGTTTATATGTCAGGAGTTCCTGTCGGACCGTCCCGCTACACCTGACCACAAGTGTTTCTTTTGTCCCGCTGCTAATGTGGTGACTTTTCTGTGTGTTGCAGCATTTATTAAAACATGACCCATGCTTTGCGTGGGTCAGAAAGACAGAGGTGTCTCAGGTCAGTTGATAAAGTCGCTTTGTTCAGATAATGGAGAAGACTAGACCACAGGTACAGATCACATTATTAAGTCTTCTCTTTGGACTAGGAGAGGAAGCTGCATGCTTATATTAAGAGAGCGGATGATATTGATTTTGGCCTGTTTCGGTCATTGTAGTAGGTGTCAGTAAAAAGCACTCAAAATGCAGATCACTCATACTGTTCTTACTAAGTGGAGTGGTGGGGGAAGGGGATTATGGTAGTAATCTCAATTCAAATCAATTCAATTTTATTTATATAGCGCCAAATCACAACAACAGTTATCTCACAGCGCTTTTCATAAAAGAGCAGGTCTAGACCGTACTCTGTGATGCTATTTACAGAAGCCCAACAGTTCCCACCAAGAGCAGCACTAGGAGACAGAGGCAAGGAAAAACTTCCTTTTAAGAGGCAGAAACCTCGAGCAGAACCATGGCTCAGGGTGGGCGGCCATCTGCCTCGACCGGTTGGGGTGAAGGAGAGAGAGGGAGAGAGAGAGGGGAGGAAGCAGGTGACCCGCAACCACAGATCCAGACTCCACAGCTCCAGAGCCAGAAAACCTGCAGGAAGTGATAGGAGGAGAGAGGAGAGGGACGAGAAAGCACAAGACTACCGGAAAGGGGAGAAGTTGTGTTAGTAACATGCAATAATGGGAAGAGGTTGCATACAGAGGGAGAGAAAGTAGAGGAAAAGAGGAGCTCAGTGCATCGTGGGAAATCCCCCGGCAGTCTAGGCCTATAGCAGCATAACTAAGGGATGGTTCAGGACTCACCTGAGCCAGCCCTAACTATAAGCTTTATCAAAGAGGAAAGTCTTAAGCCTACTCTTAAATGTGGAGATGGTGTCTGCCTCCTGAACCCAAACTGGAACCTGGAACCTTAATCTTTACTCATTACCATTGACAACAACGTTGCCCTGCAGATTTGCTCTGTGTATCATCAGCTTTAGACATGATGTCATATTGTGTTTCAGCAACTTTACACAAAATAAAAAATGGTTGTCCTTTTCCCTTCCACAGATGCTGTGTGATAAAACAGTTTCCAAATCCCATAGTGTCTGCAGGCGCAGAAAATGCAACGAGTCCTACTCAAAGATAACCGACCTTCCCCTTGAAGGATAAGGATTGTGACATTTTTCACTTTCAGTTTTGTTCCACCATTTGTACTGTATGCCTGTGACGGAGTACCTTCACTACAGTTGAGTAAGTGCTTGGACTGCCATACCAAGGAGCCTGACTCTTTGCCGTTGCTGTCGAAGTTGCATGTTTGGTACCCTGTAGACCTGTGTTTCAGTCTGGGTAGGATGACTGCTCTTGCTTTTGGTGTCAGAAGTGGGACGGCTTGCCGTGAGGTCATCAGTGTCCGAACCTTATGAGGGACTCCCTAATGATGGGATGTTTTTTTAGTTGTCTGTATGTGTGTATTAGTTTTTTTTTACAGATTTTTATTATTATGCTAAAAGTGCATTTTGCAAGGTATTTTTAATGCATTGTGAATTATTCTCATAATGAATGGTTTCATAAAGCAGCTTCCCATAAAACTTATTTATTTTATTTCCCAATAAAAATGTTCAGGGAACACATTCATTTGAAGTTTAAAATATATTTAAACTGTTCTTCAAGTACAGCACAAAAGGGTATTTTAAGTTAAATTTAAAGTATTTTTAAATTACTGTAAAGGTACTTATAGTGGTTCCATTTCAACACAACTATATTTATTAATATCTTAAAGTTGACTTTAAGTATTTCTAAAATGACA